AATGGGACTTTGACGTATCAGACGTATTTGATGGAGAAGTTTCGTCAGAGAGGTTCATACGATTTAGTGGAGAAGTTTCGTTAGAAAGGCTGGTACGATTCTGTGGTTGATGCAGTTTGCTTGTCGTATCTGTGTTCAACTTTTGTCCATCGGATGCGTCTGCTTTGTTTTCTGCTGCTAACGACGTTTGCTCTGCCGATTGGCTGTCGGCGAATGACTAAAAATAGACTCCATTGGCAGTGATATTATTAAAATGTGCCACCATAATGGGACAAAGACAAAATGGCCTAGATGTCCCGGACATTAGATAATTTGTCAGGATGTTTGAAATTGTTTTTTCTTTGAAAAAGTTTACCGGGTGTCTGTAACACATGTCTGTCAGGAGATCGTAATCAAAAGAAAATACAGGGAAATCGGAATAAAATGGTCGGCAGTATATAAAATATTGTCAGTAAATCGAGATGAAAATGACCGAGTGTCTGTAAACTCATTTGACGTGGAGATCGTAAATGTATTATAATACTTATAGAGGGCACCAATATTCAGGAGAATGTAAATACTATATAATCAAAAATCTCCGTTTATAAATGTTATTGAGTGTGGGTGTATATTCTTTTCTTCACCCTTACTGTCCATCCCACCCACCCCGTCGCTTCATTGATAGCACAATAGTGAGTCATGTGAGAGTTACATGAATCTATAATATTAAGAGGTGCATCAGGGCCTCTATCAAAAGTTCTACAAACGGTGCAAGCCTGAGGTTAGTATGTCGAAACAATTCCGACTAATAAGGATTTTACTAAGCTCTTTACACCAATTTGTCCTACAAAAATAACTTTGTTTTGTATTTTTCGATAAAAAGTGCGTATATTCCAGCCACTAAACAAGAGATTTTCTGCAAAGTGAGATGTAAACAATTCGATGCAGTTTCATCTCTACTTTCGAATGCTGAAAACCGCAGGTTTTTATCTCATTACTATTAAAAGTTATCTAAAAAATATTTAACTTTCTCTTAAACTGAAATGGACATTAGTTCAATGTCATATGTAAGTGTATCCAAGTCTTGGTAAAAGAACTCCTGAAGAAATGATTATGGACAGATCAACTACCAGCGATAATCGATTAAAGATAGAACAGCTATCGATAGAGAACGAGGGAATAACGGTATATCACATACACTAGATAGAGCTCTCTAACGGCGCTCAGTCCAACGTCCCATGTTCTTATCCTCAACCACAAATAATATACACATACATATCCTACCTTCTTCATTGATTGGCATATTTCTTCAACTGAGGTGAAGACACCAAGGACCTTCGTCCAATTCTTTGCCCACCCTTCATGCCGTCCTTTGTTGCCGCAAAAAATGTAGATAGCAACTACATTTGTCTTACTATGAATTTGTGACACCAGACTTTCACCTAAACTACCGGAGCAGACGACTATCACTTTCTTATCAACCATCTCCTTGAGACTGTTGATACATTCTTCCGGTTCTTGGCAGCACTTCACTTCTTTAACAGTTCTACCTAGTTGAGCTTGTGTCTTTTGAGAATCCGTGTTGTTTACATCGATATTACGATCAGTCCAGATAATAAGATAATTCTCCTCTATCGGCTTGGATTCTTCCGCACCCATCGATAGTGTCGTATTTCTTACTTATTTAATAACTGAGTACAGAACCTTTACGTAGAATGCTTTTACTTACAGAGCGGTAGCACAAAATGAATGAGAGCATTCGAGCATCCAGCAGTATATATATATATTACTTTTGGTTGCTCTGGGGATCTTTTTTCTTGCGAACAATGCGTGAAACACTTCAACTGTTATTGCAGTGCGAAGCACAACATTTTCTTTAATCCTTCAAGACATTTTCATCCAATAGTTACTAAAAGCATTTTACGTTGCTTTAACTGCTCCATTCTTTTTCTTATTTTCCGCGAATTTATGCATCTTTGAGAAGGGTGAACAGTTGTTTATACCAATTTAATTTGCGGTATGAGTTCAAGCTTCTGAGCGTCTTGAGGGTGTGGGTGTGGGTGTGGGTGTGGGTGGGTGTGGGTGGGTGTGGGTGGGTGTGGGTGGGT